TGATGAAGTGAGATGTTTCATTGAATGCATCAAGAAGATGCCAGAAAAATACAAAGTGTGAGTCCTTGGCTAACTCTATAAAGACAAAAAAACCTATAAGACCTGAGTTAGCCAAGACCAGAAGCAAAAAGAGGCATTATGCCATGCTAAGGGAGCTAATAAAATCTAAAAGGGAAATGACATCATTTACAGGGGAAAGGTAGCTCCAACTAAACAAATTCATTAGACATTTAGACTTCAAACGGCTGGTGGAAGTTGAGATGCCTTCAAAACATCTGGAATTCCTTTCTGTCCATATACTCCAGCAGATACAAACTGGGATCATTTGCCAGATTTTTTTGTTGGATTTCTCAACTTTCCAGGAGCACCAGCCTTCAAATGCATCTCTAATGTCCATAGGTATTGCCCAACTGAGTCCAAAAACTGCTAAGAACATGTTCTAGATGTCAGATGCCACTGGACAGTGCAAAAAAAGGTGATTTACTGATTCAGTATTGCTGCAGCACATGTAACATCTGTTGACCAGTTGGATTCTCCTTCTGCATAGATTGTCCTGTGTCAGTGTAGCATTCCTGAGGGCAATCCAGGAGAAACAAATAACTTTAGTGGGTAGCTTTGATCTCCAAATGTGTTTCCATGGCCAATTGTCAATCATTCCATTACGTGCACACAGTTTGTTGTACCCTGCCTTCACTGTGTATATACCCTTGCTGGAGTTGCCCCATCTTAGCCTGTCTGTAGTTTGAAGGTCTATGGAAGAACCTTCAATGATTCTGAAGAGATCAAAGAGTTCCTCTAGTTCCCAGTCCTGTAGGTTCCTTCTGAAGAGTGGTTCCCATAAGTTCCCTGCTCTATTCTGTGCAATTGTTGAGTCTGGATCCAAGGCTATCTGGAAAATGCCTGAGTGTGTGTCTTTTAAAGGTTGGGGCAGGATCCACCTATCCTTCCAGAATTTAACAAATCTGCCATCCCCTACTTTGAAGGATACCTCTTGAAAGAATTCCTGTTTTAAGTTGTTGATATACTTCCAGGGCCCAACTCCATGTGGAGCTCTACTTTGTTTGGTGCTCCAGTTGTCCAACTTCCCATACTTAGCTGTCACCACCTTTTTCCATATGCAAGAATTTTCTTGAGCATACCTCCACCACCACTTCAATAAAAGGCTCCTATTGTGCTTTTGTAGATCCCTAACTCCTAGACCACCTTAGTGCTTAGGCATGACTTTGGACCACTTGACTAAATGAAACTTGTGATCTTCACTATTGCCCTCCCATAGGAATGATCTTCTGGCTTTGTCTAGCTGCTTTTTGACTCTGCTTGGCATAGGGAAGAGGGACATAATATAAGTAGGAATGTTGTCCATGACACTTTTAATCAGCATTAATCTGCCCCCAATTGATAAATGCTGCATTTTCCAAGAAGCCAGTCTTTTTCTACCTTTTCAATGACTCCATTCCAGACTTCAATTGTTTTATGCTTTGCTCCTAAGGGGAGCCCTAGGTATGATGTTGGGAAAGACCCAATGCCACAGCCCATAATCCCAGCCAGTTCCTCTAAATTAGTCACCTCATTCACTGAGTAGAAGCTCTCTCAATCTTAACATATCCGTACTTTTCTTTAATTTTCTTTTGACAAATTAGGCACGTCCCCACATTGAGTCCTGTCAAACACCAATCTAATATACATGTAACAATAATAACAGAGCTTTAATCCCAGCTAATTGGCAGAACAAATATGGATCCTTTGATTCCATAAGTTTCTGTGCTTAATTAAGTCTTGTAGTGAATCCGAGATAGTACTTATTTTGAGACAATGTCCCTTTAATGTGATTTTAGATCTACCCTTCCCCTTTTAGTACCTTTAATCATCATTGTGTCGAATCTATGGGGAGTGCATATGAAGGTCTACATACGTAGGATATGGCTAAACCATCCAAACTACCTTCTCCTTACATATTATCTATATAATTTGTCTTGTTTTTGCTCAACCTTAAGCCCTTACTGTTTAGAATGCTCCCTCATAGTTTCAGCTTTCATTGACATCTTCGTTAGTTTCGCTAGTTAACTAATACCATTTGCAAATAACATACAGCATGAAGATCATCTTGTATGCTATTAGTTAATTCTTCCATAAATAGGGTAAACGAGTGTTGGCTCAAGGTAGCCCTCGGGGCTTTGTTCAACGGTACATGTATTATAAAGCGAGGTGTGGTAGGCACTCGTTATGCGTTTGAATTTTGGCTGGTGACCTGAGTCTATTATTTAATTGGAGAGCTTCGAAACAAAAAAAAAAAAAAAAACT